AGGAAGCTGTAGTGGTTGCAATCCTGACCGGCTCAAGGTTGATTCAGCCTTCCATCCTTCCAAGGTCAATAAAATGAGGACCCAGATTGTTGAGGGCTGACTCTGTAAACCGCTTAGAGAGGGCTGTAAAGCACGGTGAAGCGGTATATAAGTCTAAGTGCTCTTGCTATAATAGATGAATTTGCTTGCTTTAGAAAATATGAACACTCACATTATCTTTTTAAACCTCCCCAGTTTTACATCTTCTAATCTTCACTTTCTAACACTGCCAGTGCAGACACAAGCCTATTTAGTGATATACTGCCTCCAAGTCTGGAGGTTTTACATCACCATTGATCATACTTGTTGAGGCATTTATCTATTTCGTTTTAAAGCCATTTAATCCAACAAGCCTCAGCTCATTTGTTCTCTAGTCAAATTCTATCTCTCTCTTTTGTTCCATCACTGCTATGACTACGAAAGAAATGCCGAATTTTTGTTGAATCTCATCTAGTGACAGGCCCAGCGTGACATCTCCTAAAAGGCTGACGGAAGTCATGACAAAAACTAAATTTAATCTAATCTCTACTTAATTAAAACTAAAGTCAGTCAATACAAATACTCTCTAGTCATGCGTGTAATTACTTTCTCTAGGACAAGCGACAGTTTCCAACAATTGAAGAAAAAAACCCAATTCCCGAAGCATCTCCATCCCAAGGAATAAAGGATGGGACCTGGATTAAACTATGGTTTTAAGGCAGAAACCATGATTAGTATCCCAACAGTTGGGATCAAGCAACATGCTAAGAGAGACTCAGGTAACCAACAACGGCTTAGCGCTACGTCTGAACTTGGATCTGAATTCAATATACGACGACAGATAGTCTTCGACTTACAAGTTTGTTTAGTGACTGTTCAAAGTTACAAGAGCACTGAAAAGTGACCTATGACCATTTTTCACATAATGACCATTAACAACTGTAGCAAAAAGGTCATAAAATGGGGCAAAAACCCTCTTTTAACAACTGCCTCGCTTAGCAACGGAAATTTTAGGCTCAATTGTGGTCTTAAGTTGAGGACTACCTGTACATAATCCAAGTTTTACTTTGTCTTATCTTGCAGTGGCCTCTTTTTTCTTATTTTAGAAACATTTAAGACCAAAAACACCCTGTTTATTAGCACTGAATCACGTGGCATTTTGAACTCAGAAGGTGTTTATTACATCCCAGGCATCTCATTGGTTCTTAATTTAGTGTGCAGCCAAAATACTGCCCAGCTCCAAACATAGGATAGGACGTCAAATCTGTTACAAAGCAAATTAAAAAGGGTTGACTTAACTGCATGAGACACCAAGGACTGGGTGAGAAAGGGCCTCGGTATCAAAACATGTCAGTTGCCATTAAGAGCTCGACTTGTTACCGATTATATTTAGGTACCATGTAAAAGGAGGCAAACAGGCTGATCAGAAAACAATCTCTGGAGCTTTAAATCAGCACACAAGAATGCAGAGGATAGAGGCTAACTGACCTTTCAAATGGAAAAATACAGTTATAGGTGACCCTCGACTTACGAGCACAACTGAGCCCAAAGTTTCATTGCTAACCGAGACACTTGAGTTTTGCCACACTTTATGACCTTCCTCGCCATATTTTGTTAAGTGAATCGCTGGTTAATAATAATAATAGTTGATAAAAAAGACAAAAAAGTCTGGATAGTGGACGTGGCAGTGCCTGGAGACAGCAGAATAGACGAGAAAGAACTGGAGAAGATCACAAAATACAAAGACCTACAAATAGAAATAGAAAGACTGTGGCAAAGGCAAGCAAGGGTAGTACCAATAGTAATAGGCGCCTTGGGTGCAATCCCAAAACAACTGGAGCACCACTTGAACA